TTTGTATGGCATTCTACACACACACACACACACACACACACACACACACACAATTCCAAATTCAGGCCCTTGGAAGAAATGGAGGGTGCAAGTTTTATAGAGTCATTTTCAAAGTAGAACTACGTTTTAAGGATGCTTATAGTTAAATTAATTTTAGAGACGCCATTGAGACAAATTTGTCCTGTTTAAATCCATGGAGTAATAAAAGGAATGAACTTGGCCATGATTCTTTATCTATTTCTCTTGGGTCATCATTAAGTGTTCCTCTCTTTCACCATCCTATAGAAAATGGTTATGTCTCTCCAAGATCTTTGACCACTTAGTTTTTATCAAAGCAGTACTATATGCCAGTTAGGCTCCTGTGCTTCAGAGCACATTAGAAATACCAGGAAAATATGGAAGAAGCTTGGAAAATCTTCAGATTTGTCACTTTGCCATACAGTTTTGACTTTAGATAGATTTTATGGCAGGTAATACAAACCATTAAAGTGAGTTCATTCTTTGAAATTTGTCTCTAAAAATAGGGTCCTATGTTTAATGTGTTTTAGTGATTCCATATCCAATTTGCTTAGTGCACAAGTTTTTAAATATTTTTCCTAATGGTCAGCACAGTAAACCCAACTTGGAGTGTGAAAGTCAAGTTGAGTTCCTTCCTTCTTACTCAGCATCACTACTGTAGCAATAAAGATGATGCAAGCTAAATTATACAGGCCATAGTGGGGTGTGCAGATGTAACCCATGTTGTAATTTGGCCTGCATGATTGCTGTTAGTGGAGAAGGAAAGAACCCAGATTGAATTTCAGAGCCAAAAGCTTGAGTTTGCAGAGCTGACCAAAAAAACTTCCCTTTTATTTTGCAAACTGTGCAGAGTTGACCTGGAGTCACACTAAAAGACCACAGACATGGAACCTCATACTGATATTTTTAGAGCAGCACCCCACTTGAAGCCAGCAACCGCACCTGCTTGGTGTACAGGAAACTTTTAAATATCTAAGGGGAGGTTTTCTCAAAAGCATTCGGTATTGGCCAAATGCTGCTTGCACTGAAGTCAGTAGCAGTCAATGAAGCAAATGAGCGTTTCGCCACTGACTTCAATGGGAGAAGAGTTAGGTCAATGCTGAGAACTTTTGAAAAGTGACACTGTTAGTGTCTCCCCTTCATTTTACCTGATTCTGTTTGGAATTCATTGTTCCATATAGTTTTTGGAGCCTACAACTCCCAAATGAACTATATATACTATATATAAAATTAAGAAGGCAACATTTATACTATACATTTTATATCTATTATTTCTATACAGTTATTATGTGCCTATTGCCCTTCAGTATACACACAACTCCACCTAGTACTCATGGGAATTCTGAGCACATATAAGAAGAAGAAGAATCCTCAAAGTAATATAAATGTGTAAACAATTGTCCAGTTACATTGTATCATCTGAAGGAAAAAAAGAGAAAATATATACAGAAGACAAATAGAATAAATAAACTGAGATGGATATATATGAAAATCCCTGTCAAGAAAGGCATTAGTGTTAAAATTCTCTTGTAGGACAAAAGGACAAAATTCTCCTCTTCAGTACACAAGCAAAACTTGTTTCCCTACCAGTACATACATAGAAATGCCAAGTTTGACACATAGAGGGAAAGCAAAATATCTACATCAATCTCCATGTACAGATATGACAGGAAAAAAAAATCCCTCAGCCTTAACCACCATACCTTTAAGCAAATGCATTCATTATATTTTCTGAGAGACAAATTCTGACTTTGGATAACTGCATGACTCCCATTGAAGTCAATGAGTGCCTCATCCACATTTTGAGGGCAGGATTAGTCTCTGAGAAATAAAGCAGCTGGCATTCATGTTCTACTTTAATTCTGAAGCTGATTTCAAATTGGTATCTTGTATAAAATATGAATTTAGAAGAGCAGTGTGTTTTATCAAGACAACAGGATTCCAGTCACTCTATACCATTAAAATTGAAATCACAGAAAAGTAAGCAAGAATGAGTGTAATCTTATAACTACATCATTGGAGTTCTCAATAACACTTCTTTGCATTCATCATAGCACATTTACAAGGTATCAGTTTTGATTTGGTCATTGTTGTTTAAAGCAGGAGAAGGCTTGCTCTTCTGACCTTCAGTCCCCCCTTTGGATGTTTCCTGAAAGAAAAGCCTTGGCATCCACAGTGACATTAGGATTCGTTTATATTCTTTTCGAAAATTCTGGTTAAGAAGTCCGTATATTATTGCGTTAAGGCAACTGTTGAAGTAGGCCATGAAATAGCTTACGACGAACAACCACTCAGGAATTTTTGGTGCCATTTCCAAAGGATTGATAGCTACAGCTAGTCCAATGAAGTTCAGTGGTGCCCAACAAAAGGCAAAGATCACAAAAACCACGAACATTGTGAGAAAGTTTCTGAAGTCACTCGGCTTCAGTCTTGGTTTTATTTCTGATTTGACTCTTCTTCTTACTTGAATCACTAAGATCCAAATCCGAAAGTAGCAGAAGCTCACAATAGTGATAGGTACTATGAAATGAATTATGACAACCGCGATGGTGTAATAGGAGCTAGCAGTCTGAACAAATGTGCATGAATAGATGCGCGGATCATACTCTAAAGAGCCAACGAAAAAATTTGGCACAGTTGCAACAACTGTTAACACCCAAATTAGGCAGACGTACAGCATTGTGTTCCACCAGGTATACACTTTGTCATAAGCAAAGCTATGGCATATGTAACAGTATCTGTTTATTGCAATTGCAGCAATGTTGAAGATGGAGCCTATTACGCTTAGTCCCATCACAAAGCCACTCAGTTTACAGTGCATTTCACCCAAGGACCATCCATTGTGGAAAATGGCTAAGAGCACCAGTGGATATGGATACAAGGCCACCACCAGGTCTGCCAAAGCCAGGCTAACCACAAATGCATTACCTACGGAAGAAGAAAAGAGAGGCAAATAAATATACTCATATTTACGAAAGAGAAGAAAATAGTTTCAAACATTTGTAACACGAACATGTTCAAGGTACCAGCAAGAAGCAGCTATTTCAATAGCAACCTGTCTGTACATGAGATCTAGCTCTGTCATACAGAATACGCTATCACATAAACGTCAGCTGGTGCTGAGCAGTTGCTGAGTGGCTTATAGCTATTAGTGACTGCGCTTAGGCCGGTGGATCTTCCCACGGTAAATCCCCTACTGCCAGCATCACTATACTATTCTACCGCCGTTTATAAACTTAAACATCAATAATCCATTATATATAAACTAAGTCAGTTTATTGTAACCAACTCCAGTAGTTGGAGAGAGCCTTGTGCGAAAATGTGATTGAAAAGGCAGCTAAGTAGGCAGATACTTGTGTGGTGGATCGTTACAGGCTGCCGCTGTAATACACCTAGTGAATTCAATAAACTGCAAAGGGAAAAATGACAGACAGAGCAAGGATGATGGCACCAGGATGATGCATCATATGTTTATTTCAAATAGCTACACAATAAGCTGAACTACGTATATTTTCTTTGGTATGTTGCCTACCCTTTTACAGCTATTTTGCCATTGAATCAACTTAGGAGGAAGAATGAAACACCTCCACCATCTTCTATACAAAAGCACACCAAACTATGCAAAATCAAAAATATAGGAGTGTAATAGAAAGAAAAAGTATTTAAATGCACAGAAGTCTAGATTCTTTTCTACTGTTGATGTTAAAAGAAACTTCAACAATAAAAGTGAGGCTTATTGTCTCTCTTTAAAGAATACCCTTTTCATCTATTTGAAGTTTCTGGACTGTATCTATAAAATCATTCCTGTATAAAACAATAGGATATCAAAATGTATATTTGAAATGTGAAATACGTTACAGTAAATAGTGGTTCCATTGATTTTGTGGGAAGAACCAAATATCTTCTTAGCAACTTCCCAAAGTAATATAATAGGAGAGTTATTAATATTAGGTTTCTAACATTCAGGAAACATAAAAGATGTTCCTAGCTTGGCTGTTTGCTTGTTTTTATTGAAATCCATAGAGAAGTAGTATTAAAAAAAACAATCCTTTACACTGTGAATGTAATTGTGAAAAAGACCAGTGTATTTTTAAAATTATGTGTGAGAATAAATCTGGTGTTCATTTACAGTGAACAATTAAGGGCTCAATCGTGGAAGATGCTGAGCATTCTGTTCTTGATCCAGTGACACACCTATGCACATGCTTAATTTTAGGCATATGAATAATCCATATGCTTACGTGCATTGCTGGATCCGGTCCATAGTGCTTAGTCCCTTGCAGGATTCAACACTTGGAAACAATGTCAAGACCAGTGTCCATACAAATTTCTCCACACACTTTAGCAAATATACCTTAACCATATGGAAGGAATATGGAGCTCTGCTACTCCCCTCTACTCAAAGGGAGATCTGCTTCCATCAACTCCTTCACATGAGGTAAGGGAGACTTATGATAGTATCAAGAAGGACCTTGAGCAGATCACTGCAGACTACATGGCTCTGGGAAGAAGGATAAAAGAGTTTGGGACACAAGTGATGTTTTTGTCCCTTCCCTCTGTTGAAGGAAATGGCCTGGGCAGGGACCATCAAATTGAGGAAGTAAATGCGTAGTTACGCAGGTGGTGTCGGCAAGAGGGCTTTGGATTCTTCAACAACAAGCTGATGTTCCAGGATTACTGTGCTGGGATGGGCTCTATCTATCTATTACTAGGAAGAGCATCTTTGGATATTGACTGGCTAACCTGATGAGAGCTTTAAACTAGGTCCAATAGGGGATGGTGACAAAAATACAGCCAATGCGTATCTAGGCTCAAGTAATGAAGACAAGGGGAAGGGGCTAATTTCTGAAGAAGGGTCTAGAAATAACAACTGCATTCAAAAGGCAAAAATAAAAGCAACAGGACAGTCTGTAAAGTATCTTTGATGACTGTATGTGATTGAAAGGAGTATGGGGAACAAGCAGGATGAACTGAAAGTCATAGTATATAAAGAAAATTATGACTTAATTGGCATGACAGAGACTTGGTGAAACGACTCCCATGATTGGAGTACCTGCATTGAGTAATATAGCTAGTTCCAAAAGGATAGGTATGAGAAAAAAAGAGATGTTGCACTGTATGTCAAGATCGAATACACTTGTTCTGAGGTCCAAGGGGAAGTGGGTCACAGACCTACTAAGTCTCTGGGTGAGGATAACAAGAGAAATGAACAGTAGTGACGCTATGGTGGGACTCTATTATAGACCACCAAATCAGAAAGAGGAAGTGGATGAGTAATTCTATAAGCAGTTAATAAGATTAACTAACACACATGAGCTAGTATTAATGGGGGATATTAAATTAAATGATATATATTGGAAGACTATTGCAGCAAAACATAATACATCCTGCAAATTCTTAGCATGTGTAGGAGACAGCTTTCTGATTCAGAAAGTTGAGGAAACAACTAGGAGGTCTTCCATTTTGGATCTGGTTTTGACCAACAGGGATGAATTCGTTGCAAACGTGAAGGTGGTCAGGAACTTGGGAGGAAGTGATCACGATCTGATAGAATTCAAGATCCTATGGAAATAAGGACATGAGAACAGCAAAACAAGGACACAGGACTTCAGAAAGGTGGATTTCAACCAACTCAGAGAAATAGTAGGCAAGGTCCCATGGAAAGACCAATTAGGAAGAAAAGGAGTCGAAGGGGGCTGGCAGTTCTTAAAGTATGTAATACTAGAGGCTCAACATCAAGTTATTCCAATGCAGAGAAAAGATAAAAAGAGCCACAGGAAGCTAATGTGACTGCTCAAGGAGCTCTTTAGCTATTCAAAAACCAAAAGAGACACATACAGGAAATGGAAGGAGCAGCATGTCACCAAGGAAGTATACATGGGAAAAGCGTAAGCACATAGGGACAAAATCAGGAAAGCTAAGGCAAAGAATGAGTTACAGTTGGCAAGAAATGTTAGAAACAACAGGAAGGGGTTCTTCAAATACGTCAGACAAAAAGAAAGATCTAGGATGGTATGGGTCCACTGCTCAATGGAGAAGGTGAGCTGGTAATGCAAGATGATAGAAAGGCAGAGCTGCTCAATGCCTTCTTTGCTTCAGTCTTCTCACAAAAAATAATGTGACCAGATGACTAGCAAAGTTACCAGAGACAATAAAGGGGAAGGGATGCAGATCAGAGTAAGTTAAGAATATGTCAGAGATCTTCTGACCAATTTGAATAAATTCAAATCAGCAGGGCCAGATGCTATTCACCCAAGGGTACCGAAGGAATTAGCTGAAGAAATCTCAGAACCACTAGCAATAATATTTACAAACTCATGGATGACAGAAGAGGTCCCGTAAGACCGGAGAAGGGCTACTAATATAGTGCCCATCTTTAAAAAGGGGGGGAAAGAGGAACTGGGGAACTATAGACCAGTCAGCCTGACTTTGATACCTGGGAAGCTACTCAAGCAACGTATAAAACATTCAATTTGCGAATAGCTGGAGAGTGGAGGGGTAATCACTAGCAGCCAGCATGGATTTACCAAGAACAAATCATGCCAGACTAGCTTGATTTCCTTCTTTGACAGGCTAACTGATTTGATGGATAGAGGAAATGTAGTGGATATAATATATTTGGACTTCATCAATGATTTTGACACACTCTCATGTGACATTCAGTTAAGTACGCTGGAGAAATGCGGGCTTGACAGAACTGCCAGTAAGTGGCTACATAAACCACCACAAAGAGTAACTATTAATGGAATGATGTCGGATTGAAGGGAGAGGTTCAACGGGGATCTCTTCTGGGTCTGGTCTTGTTTAAATCTTTATTAACGACCTGGATGTAGGTATAGAGAGCATACTGATCAAATCTGCAGATGACACAAAGCTAGGACAGGCTGCAAACACTTTGGAGGATAGAGCTAAACTTCAGCGGGATCTCGAGAAATTGGAGACCTGGGTTGTACACAACAAAACAAAATTCAACAAAGACAAATGTAAGGTGCTACACTTAGGGAAGAAAAACCAAATGCATAAATGAATGGGGGATAACTGGCTTGGCAGCAGCACTACTGAGAAGAATCTGGGAGTTTTAGCGGATCACAACCTCAACATGAGTCAGCAATGCAAAACTGTTGCAAAAAAAGTAATGCAATTTTAGGTTGCATTAGCAGAGGCATAGCATGCAAGTCATAGGAAGTGATAGTACCGCTCTACTCAGTGTGGCATAGGCCTCAGATGGAGTACCCTGTCCAATTTTGGTCACCAGTGTATAGAAAGAATATAGAGAAACCAGAAAAGATCCAGAGGTGAGCGACACAGATGATCAAAGGGATGGAATGCAAGCCATCTGAGCAAAGGCTGAACAAACTCAGCATGTTTAGTTTGGAAAAGAGGAGATTAATGGGTGATATGATAACAGTCTTCAGGTACTGAAAGGCTGCCATAAAAAAGATGGAGAAAAGTTGTTCTTTTTTTGCCACAGAGGACAGGACGAGAGGTAATGGGTTCAAACTGCAGCATAGCAGATTTAGATTAAATCTCAGGGACAACTTCTTAACTGTAAGAACAGTAGGACAATAGAACAGACTGCCTAGGGAGGTTGTGGAAACTTCTTCCCTGGAGATTTTCAAAAGGAGGCTGGATAGCCATCTGTCATGGATGGTTTAGACACAACAAGTCCTGCATTTTGGCAGGTGGTTAGACTAGATGAGCCTTGCATTCCCTTCTAACCCTATGATTCTACCTTCCTGCTACAGTCAGGGCAGGTGGTCTACAATGAAAGGAGATTGGCTTACCTCAAGATAGATGCAGAAAATTTTTGAGGGCGCTCCTTGCTATAAATTTGGCAGCACTTTGCAGGGCCAGGTCCTGCCTGCTTTATGATTCCCAGGATGCCCAAACACCTTGATGTCTACTGTTCATTCCAAAACTCAGTTGAG